TATAGTACAAAATTGAAGATTAAGGTGGGTAACTTCTCACATACATATTATTTTACCCCCTATGATTGTGAAAACATGAAGATTTTCAATCTTCCAATCATTTGTAGTCTCAGTATAATTGTCAATTGTATTAGTAAACTTTAAGTTTACTACAACATATATTTAGACCATAGTCATATAATATGAATGACACATTTGTATATAAGCTCTTCGAGAGACTTCATTTATTATCCACAATCTAATATTTATCGGACACTACTGGTGTCATGTATCTTCTAGACAAACAGTTAGCTCTTCAGGAGTTGTTGATACATTTTGTTCTATCAAATATTGCTCAGACACTTCTGGTATCCACCAACTTTGTGACAAATATCTCCTTCAGGGAGAAATGCCATTAACATCTGAATATTTTATATCAAAGCGGTAACCACATAGTCATTATATCCTTTAGGAAAAAATACACGAGTTGTTATTTTCTTCGGGGAACTCGATAACTAACCATAACATATTAATGTGGTTGTAGTAGAAAACATTCTACAAGAATGCTTTTGCCTTGGAATGATATTTAATAAAATATTCCAAGATATTTTACGTACAACGGGTACGTGCGACAATGATCTTTATGCCACAAAAATAAGATTTATATCCTTTGTTATTCTACCTCTTCAGGAGGTGAGTTGTGATATTTCTTCATTCACTCCAGGGAATGAAAATATGCTTCAAAAATAACTTTGAATAGCTTATTATTTTGTTTAAGCACAGAAGGACACAATTCATAATATTTTCCTACTTCAGGAGAAAATTTTAATTGTGTTACTTTTTCAGGAGCAAATTTAAAATACGAAACATTGAGTATATATTCCCTCAAACATATTACCTCTTCTGGAGGTGAATTGTAATATATTCACATCAAAAGCGCGTTCATATTTACGAGCTTTATTAATATTGTCACATTCACTTCAGGGAATTGATTAATATATATCAAAAGTTCTCATCTTTCAGGGAACAGAACATAATTATTTGAATATGAATTAATCACACCAAATTGTGTGACGGCTTAGAACCTCTTTTAAGATATTGCTACTTCAGGAGCAAATCGAGGCATGCAAGTAATGTAGAGAAATTTTCTCTAATTTATCTTCAATTGTAACCATAGAAAGCCTAAATTATCACTTCTGGTGGTCATAGACATATACCACTTCTGGTGGTTACCAAATTTTGGTTACAATGAGATATATGAAACATAACCACTTCTGGTAGTTGTATATTACTTTCAAACTCTACCAGAGTTGCAAGCAAACTTATTGTCTCTGCTCGCCTTTAGAATCAAGTTATAGGACTTCAATATAAGGTAAAAACCTTACCTGATAAGCATGAAACGCTTTGAAAGTGGTGCTTGTGTTTTATACATGGTAGACGATGATGCTCATGAAATCATCGTAACCAAGAGCGAGACTTTAGTTGGAACACATATTTTCAACCAGGAGGGACGTTACTACCAGCATCTCAACACCTCAGTTGGTTAGAACTTACTTAATTTTAAAGCTCTACCATTCACCTAAGATAGGAAAATCAAATTCGAAGTAAGTGCTCAAAATGGCAGAGTCTCGTGCTGATAACGTATTATAAAATAAAGACTATAAAATAAATAAATCAAAGACAAGTATAGTGAGAGAAATTGATATTTTATTGAACTTTCAAACTAATGTATATAATAAACTGAAAACTCCTCTATTTATAGAAGAAATGAAGCAGCTGCGAGGCTTTTCTTCAGTTGCTTGTCAGCTGTCTGCATGAGCTGTTTGTAACCTACCTGTTTAATAAGAAACTGCTGCAAATCATTTCATTGAGTTGCTTGCAACCTATCTGCATCAGCTGCTTGTAGATAAACTTCAACATAGTACTTAATGAATAATCTTTTTTCGGAAGATTATCTATAGCAGAGTATTAAATGAACATCCATAATATAATTATTTTAGTAACAAAAGTCCACTTAAACGATTTCATGAGTACATTTCTTAAAAGGGAATAAAGTCAACGGACCAATTTAGCTTATTGTTCATTAAAAAGATGTGCCCAAATGAAGTAAGAATTTTCAAAAATGCCAAGTGGAGTATTATTTTGAGTAGGTTGTAACCCTCCTAACATGAGTTACATTACAATTTACAGCTTTTATAGACATATTATTATTACCTGAATCTAGTTCTTTAATATAGAATTAAATGCTTGAGGGTTCATTCTTTTAATGTTGACGGATTTTCTTTTCCTGTCGGCAAATTTTATTCACGCGTTTTGAAAGGATAGTTTGGTTTCCACCTGTACATGTTACAAAATTGATAGACGGGATTATTATCCGGGAAACAAGTTTGGCACGTACTTAATTTGCTTAATGGAACTGATAATCCCCTTTTCCCATATTAATTAGCTCCCCAAAAATTTCCTGGTTTAGCTTTGCTCTAACACCCATTGTGGCACTGTCATCCTATCCAATCCATTTTTCAAATTCTCTAATTAATCTTGTGTCATTTTTTATACTACTCCATCTTATTCATTTTAATTGATTTTTTTGGTTATTTTCACACATATTAAGAAATTCACTCTTTTAACATTAATTAACAATAAAATTGATCATATTAATAAATACTCCCAGGCTCTTTACTCCAAGGGCAACTTTAGAAGAAGAAAAATTTAATTCTTTCTTAATATCTGAAAAAATAAAATATTATAAACCACGAAAAATACTAAAAATCAATTAAAATCGACTGGAGAGAGTAGTGTCATTTCGAACAAAAAATAAATGCACTTCGATTAAGTCGTTAGTCAGTTTGTTAAGGAACGAAAACACTTTCTCTGGTCCACAATAAGTGAACAATTTGTCTTGGGCACACCCATTAAGAAAATACAAAATTCTAGACAAAAATAGTTAGTGTAACTAAACTACCCTTAATTAAATGTTGCAACATAGTTAATGTGAGGAGTAAAAGACTTTTTAGGGATACATACATAAGGGTAATTTTGAAAAAATAAATTGAATTTTTTCTTGATTATATAAATGAAAACTTATTTTGGACCAAATAAAAAGATAAATTGGTCATTTATTGTGGACCGGAGGGAGTACATGTGTTGATTAAACTTACCGACCTACCAATTCATTGGAGACAACCAGGGGTGTTCATTAAAAATCGAAAACCGAATTAAATCGACACAAAAATTGATAATATTTTGGTTTGATTAGGTTTTCGTTTTAAATTTTAAAAATCGACCAAATTTGATTTGGTTTTGGTTTTAAACAAAAAATAATCGAAAAAACCGAACAAACCCGACTATAGAAATACTTATATGAAACTTTATTATTACACATATATGTATATTTATATAGTTTTTTTTAATTTTATGGTAGATATTTAATTGTTTGCACTCTTAGTTGGTAGTCTAGTTCTTTGCTGTCATAATAATTAAGTTCTTTGCTTTTACATTTTAGTTTGATGATAGCTTTATTTTGCTAAGTCTAAGAATCTATTTCATGTTAAAAAGTAATTTATTTTTAATTGAGTCCTTATATTACTCATCACTATTTAGTATAATTATATATTATTAATATATCTTGATAAATGATAAATTTTCTTAAAGAATAATTAGTTTGATACTATTGTGTTAGAATATAGTCGATGGAATATGCGGTTGGCATGACTTACATTTAAGGGAAAAAACGACAAAAAAATCAATAAAAATCGACATAAACCAAATCTATAAAAAATATGGTTAATCTTAATTAGCTTGGTTTCCTCTTAGAAAAAAATCGACCCAAACTGAACCATGAATATCCCCAGAGACAATTCTTAAAGGGTGTATCTTAATGATAAATAAAATAGGTACAAACCTCAAGAAGTACAAATCTTAATAGAAGTAGAATGCAATAACATATGTTCTTTTATAGGACTTAGAAAAATTCTCTAGACATTTTTACCGTTTAAAAGGTGATGAATTAAAAAAGAAAAGAAAAAGAAAGATGGCTAGAGTATAGATCCATCAACTATTCTACAACAACGTAAAAGAAATCAAACAAATGCAAAGAAAATATAAATCACACGAGTTGAAAGATATACCAAGCTGGGACGCAGGAATAGAGTCTATAGAAGATTAAATATTCAAAAAGATAAATCTAAATTATATGAAAGGAAACATATTCAATACATTGTAGGTTGCTCATAATCGCTAAAATACTTTGTGTCTTGCTAATAAAGATACTTGAAATAACTTAGTTTAAGTAGAAGTAGCATAATAGGTTTTAGGAATTAGTATTTTGAGTTTAATTACCTGTTGGCTTGTAATAGTTTTCATAAAATCATGGCCCAAAGAAAATTTGATGCATTATTATTTTTAAACTTACTAAATAAATATATTTTCCACATGTAAAATTTATTCGGTACGGTTCGGTATTTTTTCGGTTTATTTTTATAAAATAAAAAACCTACCCTAATTATCGGTGCAGTTATAGTTATATATAAAAACCTACGGTTTCTTAAAAAGAAACCTAAAAATCGGTTCGGTACGGTACGGTTCGGTCGGTATAATCAGTTTTCGAATATCCATTGACACCCGGGAGAGTTACTCAACCCAAAAATATTTAAGCTATAAATCAACATATTAAAGAAAGGTGGGCAGGGGTACACGTTGGAAGAAAGTACTCCCTCTGTTCCATGTTATGTGAACCTATTTCCTTTTTGGTCCGTTCCAAAAAGAATGAACCCTTTCTAAATTTGGTAACAATTTAGTTTAAAGTTACAACTCTATCGGTAATGAGAAGCTTTTATAACCAGACAAATACTCTGGGCCCCATTTGAACTTGTTTAGGACCAAAAATTCCAAAAGTCTTCATTTTTTTCTTAAACGCCGTTCCTAGCCAAACAGGTTGACATAAATTGAATCGGAGGGAGGGAGTATATGTTTATCCATAAAAGGTAAAAATGGTGGTGGGATATTAACATAACATGGGAAGAGAGAAAGAAATATGGATATTTGGAGTATTCGCAAATATGGCCAATAGTTATAGAATGGTATGGGGGAAGTTAAAAAAGTGGGGTTAGAGCGACTTGCAGAGTGAGAGGGTTTTTTTAAAAGCTAACAGACATCCTCTGCAACTGCTATGTTATGTTGTTGCTTCCTCTTCATCACTTCATTTGTCTTCTTTTGTTATACTTGCCCACCCCTTCCCTTCTTCTTCATTTGTTTTTGTTTATGCTGCTGCTTTGATATCCGTTGCTTCTTTTGACGTTTCTTCTTCTTCTAATTATATAAGTATATTTCTATATTGAAATACAGGATCTCCACTATCCACTTTTCTTTATTCCTCTTTGCCTTTTCCCTTAGTATATACACACTCAAAAAGAAACGTTTATTGGTCAACCTTCATTTTCACTTTTCAGATTAATTTTTTTATCTGCTCCTCCCGCTCTTCCACAAACTCACGTTAAAGTGGAGAGTCGGAGATTACGAAGCTAGCCTACATATATATGTTTACAAAAACAAGAACGACCCATTCATACATATGAAATTTTTTTCTGTTTGATTGATGGGAAATTGACAAGGATAAGTTAATTTGTCTTTGTTTTGAACTGGGGGTGTGTTAAGAAATGGCGTGTAATCATCTAACAGATATGCAAGAGCCAAGCATAGATACAGATAAGTTAAGCTACGAGATTTTCTCTATTCTAGAAAGCAAGTTCTTATTTGGTTACGATGATCAGAAGCTTTGGATTCCTAAACAAATAGCTCCGGCAGTTGAACATCACAAGAACGTTAACGAGGTTGTGTTGACATCATCACCGGTGAGGGAGGGGCACGGCGTTCAGGCAATTAAAAATCAGAGGGGTAAAGTCTGTATCCTCAGCATAGATGGTGGTGGAATGCGAAGCATCCTATCAGGAAAAGCTTTAGCGTATCTTGAACAGGCGTTGAAGGTTAAATCGGGAAATCCAGATGCTAGAATCGCCGATTATTTCGACGTCGCTGCCGGTTCCGGCGTCGGAGGAATATTCACCACCATGCTCTTCTCTACCAAGGACCAAAACCGCCCCTTGTTTCACGCTGAGGACACGTGGAAGCTTCTAGCAGAACAAAGCAAAAAATTCTACCCTACCAAAGGTTCAAATTCCGGCGGTTTCCTCAGGCGAATTATCTGCAGCGGAGGCGGTGGTGGTTCGACCGGTTCAGCCACGACCGGTTTGGAGAAGTCGATGAAGGAGGCCTTTGTAGATAAAACCGGTCGAAGCCTCACGTTAAAGGACACGTTGAAACCGGTTTTAATCCCATGTTACGACCTTTCAAGTACGGCGCCATTTTTGTTTTCCAGAGCTGATGCTTTAGAAACCGACAGCTTCGACTTCCGGCTATGGGAGGTTTGCAGAGCCACGTCAGCAGAGCCGGGAGTGTTCGAGCCGGTTTGTATGAAGTCCGTCGACGGGAAAACCAAGTGCGTGGCGGTTGACGGGGGATTAGCCATGAGCAACCCGGCGGCGGCGGCGATTACCCACGTGCTTCACAACAAGCAAGAATTCCCCTTCGTGAGAGGTGTGGAGGACATTTTGGTACTTTCACTAGGGACAGGTCAGCTCCTTGAAGGAAGCTTTGAATATGAGCAAGTCAAGAATTGGAAGGCAAAAGACTGGGCTCGACCAATGGCTCGAATTTCTGGCGATGGCTCCGCTGATGTGGTGGACCACTCAGTTGCCATGGCTTTTGGCCAATACCGTAGCAGTAATTACGTGCGCATTCAGGTACCTATTGTTCTTTTAATAGTTTACAGTCAGCGTAAAGAATTTTAAATTTTTTATAATTATCAAAGGATATCTACAAGGGAGACTACTTAAATATAAGATTTGTAATCGTAAAATAAAACAAATTAGCTGTTACAGCAAGTAAAGGTAATCCGATGGGGGCACATTTAACTCTAAAATTTGTTCCAAAATTTTAGTAGTAGATACAGTTCATGAATGAGCTTGTAGATTACATGGGGGCCGGGAGAAAGGGGACAAGCTGGGGATAGGTGTCTTTGGAATGGGAGAGGGGGAGGGGGTGGGTGGTTTGTAGGGGTGAGTCTAACCTCTAACCTGCGCCGTTTGATAATTTGGTCGTATGCAATTTAATTTCTTGAAGAATATTGATGCATAGACATTCATTTACTGGTTTTAGGATAATTGATAGTGTTGTTGTTGTGTGCAACTAGAGAAACCGTGCAGTCAAATTGAGGCCACCAGGAACAATGTTGTCGTTAGCTAACAACTAGACAAACCCATTGGTTGGCGAGACTCAGACACAAAAACACACACTCTGTGTGTGTAATTGGGGAGAAGTGATCTCTTTTAAATATCAATTACAAAAAGGACCAAAATTGGGGGGGGGGGGGGTGAGGGGAAGGTGAATATTGGTTATGGTTTATTTTCTTCAAATAAAGTAAGTTTTAGTAATGATGAAAAATAATGATAAAAGATTAAATCTTTTCCACCTGGGAATAAGGGGGCAGTACTTTCCTTAAGTCTAACTGGCACTTGGATAATTTGGTACCAGAAATTGGTAATATCTTGATGCTGGAAAGTTACTAAATCAAGAATGTGGCACTCGTTGCCAATTAGTACAGCAAATATGTGTAGAGCTGTAGTTTTTCCATAATTTTCTAAGGATGATATTCATAATCAACACCATTTTCGTGACACATAGATTTCTGATATAAAGAGAACAAGAGAGTAGTTATGTTCTTTAACTTTTCTTGTGTCACCTAAATCTGTATGCTAAAGAAGAGGCTCTGTATCTCAAGGATGGTCCTCACAGTCATTGATTACCACGNTATCATATTGATTACCAAGTACCTCTCTCCCAGCTATTTTGACCTGCCAATTTATTCTCTTACCAAATCCTTGTCCTTGAGACCATGCTTTATTACGATACTGCCAATGGTGGGGCTTGGTTTTTTACCGTTTGGTATGAGTTACAAGGCCATCTCCAACCTTGCCCCCATCCCCGTAATGAGGGAAATATTTGGGGGAATTTAGCTCCAACCCTCCCCCATTTTTGTCCCCAAAATAGGGGATGAATAGTGTTTCCTTAAATATGGGTACACTATTCATCACTTTTTTATTATTATTTTATTATTTAATCTTTTAATTTATCTCTTTATATATACCTAATTATGTTTATGTAATGTCTTTATAATTTTAATATTTTATCTTAACTTTGGTATATAATTTTGATAAATTAATTTTTGTGCATTTATTATTTTTATGTAGAAATGACAGTAGATGAAAATCAACGATTTCAAGAATTTTTATTTCGACATAGAAGAATTAAGGACAAAGATGCTCATTTTGCACTTCGTAATGTATTAATAGATCATTTATGGGAGAATACTAGATGTTGAGGTTGAATATTTATCTAGTATTTCGAATGAATTTTGTCGTTATGTAATATGTATTTAATTAATCTTGTATCGCAATGATTTCACTTTTATTTGAATTATTAGTTAACCTATAATAATTGCTTACAAATTATATTATTTAAAATTTTATGGAATTGTTTTAATTATGAAAATTACAAATTAATAAAAATAAAAGACGGAATTTGTTTAATGGAAATTAAAAAATGAAATTGGAATGAAAGATAGTAATATAATATAGAAGAGAGAGAAGAATATAAAAAAGTTTGGGGAAAAATGGGAAAATGGTTGGAGTCTCCAAAATGGGGAAATCCTCATTTTGGGGACCAAAAATGGGGTAAAGGTTGGAGATGCCCTAAGAAGGTATAAGGATGGTATAAAAATTTAATACCATCTTAATACTCTGTTTGGTTAGCAAACCAGGTATAAGTTATTAACACCGGGATAACTTATACCTTATAGAAGGTGGGGTAATTAGCACTGTTATAACTTATACCTTCTTCTTAGAAATTATGCAATTGTCATTCTTAATACAACATATCAAACAATGAATAAACAACAATTCCAGCATAACTTATACCAATATAACTTATACCAGCATAACTTATACAAATATAAATCATATTCCAACCCGACGACCCCTTACAGTATACTTATTGATGAGGGTAATAGTGGATGTGGGTAGGGAATTGACCAATGGAATGTGTGCCAAGAGAATACTATATGGAGAAGATTTAGATAATTGACCAAATGAAATAATAATATATTGATGATCATTCCGAAGAATAAAGGGATAAGTTAAATAAGTCCCACATGGTTTATAAAATGTCAGACTGAAAACTATTGAGTTTCGTCATCAACTGATGCTTCTTCCAGTCAAGGGATATTTGCTTTCTATCTATCCTTTTCCGATCATTAGTAAGTCTTAAAATGTTCTAGATTCAAACATATGAAGGTAGAACGAACGACTTGTTGCTTTCAGGTATTACAATTTGTCTTTAACTTGGATGATATCTTAGTAAAATTAAATGGTGTTTTCAGTTTCTAAACTAATTTGATGATGGCAGGCTAACGGATCGAGCTTTGGTCGTTGTGGGGTGAATGGAGACGCTGACCCAAGTCCGAGCAATGTGAAAACGTTGGTTGGGATAGCAGATGAAATGCTGAAACAGAAAAATGTAGAGTCAGTGCTTTTCGGTGGCAAGAGAATTGCAGAGGAAAGCAATTTTGATAAACTTGATTGGTTTGCTGGAGAATTAGTGCAAGAACATCAGAAAAGGAGTTGCCGGATAGCTCCCACTGTTGCATTTAAGCAAGCTACACCGAAAGCTTCCCAAACATCTCTCAAATAGTAAACCAAGTCAAGCAAAATTAAAAAAAGAAAAGAAAAAAAAGAAGGTAAATTCTTCTTTCATATCCTTCCATTTGGTCTGATTCTTTTTGTGTATTTAATAATGGTGATATATTTTTCCAAGTCTAAGCATGTCTGACCCAAGCTTGATGACGATGATATCAACTAGGACCCATAACACTAATAATTGGTATATTATGATATGAATCTAAGACCCTTTATATACGTTAAGTTTTCTAAATCATAAATAAATCACGAGAGGATAATACATAGGGTGTTGTTTGTTTGTTTGTGTGTATCCGTGGACTCCGTCATATGTCATTTTCTTTCATGTCTTTCAAAAGATCAAACCCCTGATTAGTCCACCGACACTTAGTCCTTTCATTATAGAGATGGAGTTTGTAGTCATTTTAAAAATGGAACCCAAAAAGGGTTGTAGGGGACCTTATGGTCATTTTGGGAGGGGGAATGTATGGTATAACTTTGGGTTCATGGACAGTGTCCGTAGTCCGGAAAGAATTAAAGAAAAGAAGAGTATTTTGAATATATAGTACTCTTTGATATATATCATGTTGTGGTTGACTGTTAGACAAAGCACCTTCTTTTTCTCTGCTATGTGCCTTTCATAGTGTCACCTTTGCTTTTTTGAGCTGAAAGTTACACTATAGAGTGTTATTTCAGAGTGGTCACTATTTTACCTACTTCATCCACATCTTATTTTTCCAACTTATTTGTTCCTACAGCTTTTGGGAATGTTTATCGGTTCATATACCTTAAGGGTTGTTTGGTACTCGAGATGTGGTGGGATAAAGTGTGAGATTAAGTTTATATCATATTTGATTGACAGTATAAATTTATAACTATTTATAACTTTATACCATCAACTAAAGATGTTATAAATTTAATCCTAGTCTTAATACAAGATATCACACTTTATCCCACCTTATCGCATCAAACTCAGGATTATATTATTCCACCGATTATATTATTCCACCTCCCAGGTGGAATAAATTAGTTCAGGAATTATAATTCCAAGATTATAATCTCGAAATAATTTAGTCGGCGACCCCTTAGGATCACTTGGGTTCGTCTAGACAAGACTAGATTAGGAAACCCCCTGTATCTCCTTAATTTGACTCTATGGCTATGCTCAATGACTAAATTGACGCTATTAAAGTAAATTGTCACAATCATTACATTAAAAAGGGAAGGGTAGCCCGATATACAAAGTATTCTGTGTTCATGTAGGGTTCGTGAAAAAGCCTCACCCAAAAAGTGTGATGTAGACATCTTATCCTAATGCAAACATTACGTCAGCTTTTACGGCTCGAAGTAGGTCACACGGAAACAACTTTAATGTTAGTTTCCCAAAGAGGGGTAGTCGGGTTCCACACCCAAAAATGGTGATGTAAGTAGTCTAGCTTGATGCTTGTCATTATCCTCTAATTCTTTATTACCGCAATTTTTGAATTTAACTTACCCTGGTCACATCCTCTGTTGACTGAGGATTTATTGTGCAAGTTGCAACTGTGTATAATTGAGGCGTGGGTGCAATGATTAGAGTTAGTTAAGTAGTATAAACAATTGAATCAATGTTTTAGACACAATTATTAGGTAAAGGCCAATAAATCATACAAAAGTCACTATTCAGACGGTGACTAGCAATCCTGGCTATCTGGCAGTTACTAGTTACTAGTAGTTACTTTAGTAGTAGTAGTAGGAGAGTAGTGCTTTTGAGTTTTGGACAGGTGTCTGAATTATTTCCGACCAAATTGAACAGGGGTCAAAAGCAAGATATTGTTTTAGACTAAAAAATAATCCGCAAAAGTGAAAAAAAAAAGGGAAGTAATTTTACCTGGTGCTGCTTTCTGTGAAAATATGAGTGCTTGTCCTATTTAAAAAATTGTGAAGTAACATGATTCACCTGGAATAGTTGAAATTCATGGATTAAAGCACCTACTTTTTGCTCCGTCCTTTTCCTTGTCGAGCATTATGGTCTGTCTTACTAGACATTACTTTGTGTTGGTAAAAAATAAACATTTTTTTTCGTAAATATAAAAAATATTTTTTTTTTCTACGTTATTTAGTATGGTGATTTGGGTTCCAAGAAATAGCATTGTCTTTGATATTAACTGCAATTTTTTTCCTCTTGAAAACTAACCATTATCATTCCTTTAATAGCTCATTAATATACCATTATATATATATATATATCTCCTGTGCAGGAAAACGATGTGCTGATTAGGAAAAGAAAAAGAATTGAAGAAGATGGAGATGAAATAGCAGCTTTTACTTTTTTGGTATAGCTAGTAAGATGGAAAAGCCAGTGCTTTTTCTGAAATTGAAATGAAAAAGACACTCAACTTAACTGTAAAAACAAAATGGGAAAAGATGGAACCGTTGAATGATCTTTGTTGGGATTCTTTTGCTTGACAGAGGACAGGCATTTGTTTTGGCCATTCCTTCTTGATAGAGGTCGAAGACAAAACGAGTCCTTTTTTTCCCTTTCATTTCAGAACTTGGGGACAGGAAGGGGGTTGTTTCCTTTTAATTTCCTTTCTTGCCCTTGGTTTAGTAGTGTTATTTTTCTTCTTTTGAGTAATATATTGTGGTTGGATCTACTTTTTGTATCTTCTGTGGATGGAGGGCATTATTGGGAAAATATCAGCCCCTTTTTCGTTGTTTCTTTTTCTTGTTTGGAAAGTAGGGAAAAGGAAATGAGATGTAAGTTAATTATAGAAGTTAGTGTTTGTGGGAGAAATTTTTTTGGAGATTAGCCTCTCTTTTCAAAAGCAGCGGACCATGTATCTCGTAAAAATTGCACACGGCGTTCTATTTGGTCACCACCATTTAATTTATATATATTTTTTAAACTTTTAACTTGTACCCACTTTTTAAACAACTTCAATCCCCTTTCTCCTCCTCGTTTTCTTCAAAGATATCTTTTCCTTTTTAACTTCAAGCAATTCAAAGCTAAAATTATGTAAAACATCTTTTTGCCACACTACATCTCCGGCTCTCAGCACCTTCAAGAAATATAAAAACGCTGCTCCAAGGCTAGAATTTTCACTCACGTAAACAATGAACTTTACTGAACCAAAAATATTAAAAAAGTTCTGCTCTAAATTTATCACGGTTACATGCAAAAGAATTTCGAAATGCACTGAATAGTAAAAAATTGATGACTACCAATGACGATCAGCTGACAAATTCCCATGTGAACCAGGAAGGTAATTTCTGTAAGCAGTCCAAAATTCCCCAAAAGTTGATAGCTTCAAATGACCTGAATTACTACTCTTTAGTAGGAACAGATAATTGTATGTCTTAATCAAGTGGAAAAACAAACAGGATTTTTTATGACGAAACTAACAAGGCATTACTAAAGACTTCCTTTATTTACTGATCTTAATGACAACATGAATATTTTTTATATAGTGAAAAACTTCAGCTCTAGAATTGAAGTTCGTCAGTTATAAAAACAAAAACTTCAGTTCTAGAACTGAAGTTCGCCAGTTACAAAAACAAAAACTTCAGCTCTAGAGCTGAAGTTCGCCAGTTACAAAACAAAAACTTCAGCTCTAGAGCTGAAGTTCACCAGTTACAAAAAAAAAAACTTCAGTTCTAGAGCTAAAGTTCGCTAGTTACAAAACAAAAATTTCAGCTCTAGAGCTGAATTTCAGGCTCGCTACTAGAATGCTGAAGTTTTGCGTGATTGCCTTTACTACTTCAGCCCCGTATGCTGAAGTTATGTGAAAAAGCGGGTACGCTTGCAATTATTTTTGCAAAGCGAACACAAGTTAAAACGTGACACAAAAAGCGGGTATAGATACAAATGCCCCATGTATCTCCTGAAATTTGGGTAGATGAATGGCCTTGGCCTATACTATATTTCATATGTGGATTTGTATAAAGAAATATCAAACCATTTTAATTCCTTTTTGCCTGTTATATAGTATATATATTTGGGAAGTTTTATTTCCTTTTTGTCTCATAAATTTGTGGACCTCAATCTTATATTTTTGGGTCTACAGAAATCTGAGTCCACAAAATTATGAGACAAAAAAGTTGCCTCATACAACTAGTGTCAATTGTATGAGACACAAAATAAAATTTTCCCTAAATTGAGGACAATGACAAGTGAATCATTACTATTAAAACTCGTGACGCCGTAAGTTAAAAGTATAACGTATTGATAGATTCAAGGGCGGATAACTATGGGACACGTGAACCCATGGTCTCTCTGCAAAATTATATATTCCGTATTTTATGTACATATTTTGTAAAATTGATATAATATTAATTATTGACACCTATGCTCCAAAAAGGTTGAATGGTGCCATTGGTTGGTTAAGTTAGTTATTAAGAGGAATAAGGATCAATTCTCACTTAATATATTTTTTCCTTTAATTTTTAGTAGAGCACACATGTACTAGAAATCACAAATCCGCCTTGAATAGATTAGCATGAGTTTTATGTTTATTTGTAATAACATTGTAAAAACATGACGTTCCAACGTAAAAATGCTAACAGATAAAACAAAAAAGAAATTGCAAATTTTAATGGCCTTTCCTCCTAACCATTCAAGTTAAATCCCATGAGAATTCATTTTCTTATGAATAATAGCCATCCAAGTGACTCTAGAAGTTGTCCACCTTTAACATGGAGATGTCACTACTAGAAATCCGGTAAATATCGCCCAAAATTTTCCGATCAGTATTGGTTGATCAAAAAAAGCGATCAAAGTTGGACGGAAACCCGGAGAAAAATATTTTACATTTATTTTATAAAAATACCGACCAAAGTTGGTCGATAATTTGGTCAACAAGTTGACTGAGCTGGCGAGACTTGCTTAATCAAAGAAACTTTCACATTACCGACCAACTTTGATCGTTAATGTGGACCCAATTTTTAAAATTTTAATAGTTATATTATTATTTAAAATGTTTTATAAAATTTTAAAAATATTTATTTAAAATTACCGACCAAAGTTGGTCGGTTAATTTAGGGAAATCATTTACCGACCAACTTTGGTCGGTATATTTTAATTTCTGAAAAATAACCGACCAAATAGGTCAACGTTGGTCAAAAATATGAATCACTTTTATATTTACTATCTAAATAATATAAATGTAATCCGTTAACACTTTGGTAATACAAATAATAAATATACTAATATATACTATAACATGCTATATATGTAGTTAAAGTAGTACAACAAAGCGTATTATATATATATATATATATNGCCAGCTTTCGGGCATGACTAGCCCCGTATGATGTATTATGATTTATGTAAATCGTCGGTTGTGGACTGCAAGTTAATCGGAATAGATATGGAAGAATGATTCTCAGCTTGAAGCTTTAAATTTGGAAGGTTTGACCCAGTCTTGACTTCTTAGTAATTGATATCAGATTTGGATTTTTATGATTTAGATAGCTCTATCGGGTAATTTTGGTCTTAGGAGCGTGTTCGGAATATAATTTGGAGGTCCGTGGTAGATTTAGGCTTGAATTGGCGAAATTAAAAATTTGGCATTTTCCGGTCGGTAGTGAAAATATTGATATCGAAGTCGGAATGGAATTCCGGAAGTGGGAGTAGGTTCGTAGTGTCATTTGTGAGGTGTGTGCAAAGTTTTATGTCATTCAGATGAGGTTTGATAGGTTTCGGCGTTGTTTGTGGAATTTAGAAATTTAGATGTTCATAAGCTTGAATCCGAGGTTGATTTGATGTTTTGATGTTATTTTGAGTGATTCAAAGGTTCGACTAAATTTGAATGATGTTATGGGATGTGATGGCATGTTTGGTTGAGGTCTCGAGGGCCTCGGGTGTGTTTCGGGTGGTTATCGGAGTATGTTTGGCTTTGAAGAGACTGTTGTTGTTGCTGTATTTCCTTATGCTGGTATCCTTATGTCACGCCCCAAAACCGAGGGGCGCAACCGACACTCAACCGAGCAAGCCCGACTGAGCAAGCCTATTAGGTTTCATTATGAATAACAAGGAGATGAAATTTATGAGCATTACATTTACAATTTTTATCTTTGTCTTTCATTAACATTTCAACCATACTAACCAAATTATTACAATTAATAGATACGAAGGAAACATTCTTCCAAATAACAACATATCTAGTTCAAATTTTCAATACCCTACACCACCCACAACCTGTCTACGAAGCCTCTAAATACAACTGAAAAGTAATATGAAAATGCCGACAATAAGGCTCCGGCTATACCTCAAATACAAAGTACATGATAAACAACGGTACAGGACCCCGAAATGAAGTGGGGCTCACCAAGTCAGCTGAAAGGGAGATGCGTCACTAGCTGCGACTAACACTGCCTGCTATAGAACCACCTACATCCATTTAAAGACGTAGCGCCCCCGACAAAAGGGACGTTAGTGTCATCGAATAACACTAGTATATATAACTAAACACCATCTCATTAGAAAGAACAACCATACAAGAACAAAGAAATCATAAGGATTCAACAACATCTTTAAACAATCCCCACATCATCAAATAAAAGGAATCACATAGCTTTCACATAATTTCTATAGCTTTAGTTTGGGGCATTTAATATTGTTCATCATCATTCACAATACCACCGCTTTCTTGAGCGGATTCCGATCACGACCCGATCGGCTAGGTTGCCTCATTTGAGACATGTACCTCAATCACAATTCATTCTCACTTTCCGGAATTCAATATCACACATGGATGTGTGCGGCATGACGTCCGATCACGGCCCGATCGTCTAGGCCGCCTTACCAAGGTGTTGTTCCTTTCTCATTAATCATCTCATTTCAATCTTTATTTCACATATATCAATTCATAGGCACTTAGGGCCACAATTATCACATCATACTTGGCACTAGGCCACATTTCACAACTCACATTCCACATCACTTTCACTTTCAACATCAAACTTGCAATTTAAGATAATTGGTACATACAAGAGCAATTCAAGTTGTAAGCATAGAGAGGAATTCTCATGATTCGCCATAATAGTCACAATTTAAACTTGACTTGAAATCTAGGAAATTTAGCATATAGTTCACATTCTTCACATATCCCCAATTTACCAAGAATAGCACATTGAACACATTGAGACGCACCTTTCACATATATTCTTGCAACACCAAATTCTTTGAATTAACAAATACTACATAAATCAAATTTCGGACTTACAACATATGCGGGAACACCATGGGAGCTCAATTTCTAAGAAGAGGGGGTTTTAACCATACATATTTTGTTTAAGATTTTCTTTAGTTTCTACAATCCACCAACACCTCTAGCAATAACAATCTATAAAGAGATAGCGGGAATCGATTAATAATTAGGAAGATTACCCATATTGTAACTCTCCTAGGAATTTCATCAAACACCTAACATGTGAAGTAGTCTACAAGGTCTCAAAATGGAAATTCCTTCATCCCTCAACCAATTTTAACAGGAACTACCCAAATTAATTCTTTAATATCACATACTACAAATTAGTCCCACATGCATGGCCTATTTCTAATCCCCACAACATATTTGGACCCTTAACATCTTACATGAAATCTTGGAAGAAGGACTAACCCGGATGGAGGACAATCAAGTGGTTATCTTCCTTGATTTTTGAAAACTTGAGTAAGATTTGGGTGATTATGAAGCTAGACTCCTTCTATATTTTTTCTCTCTCTATATGCTCTCAACTCTCTCTAAAATCAGTAGAAAATGACCCCAAATAAAGCCCCTAAGCCTATTTATCAAAATAGGGTCGG